ATGGTAATTTTTTCAATGATCAATATTTGTCTTATTATATGGATATGGATGATGATGATGTTATGATATGATGAACGATGCATTCAATAATCCACCATATAGAAAACATTGTTTTTTTTTTGACTGACTGACTGACTAACTGACTAACTGAATGAATGAATGAATCAAGCGATGTGAATTAAATAATAAAAGAAAAAACATTGAATAATGTTTGTTTTGTGTGTAAATTGTAAATGATAATGATGATTATTATTCAACAAATATTTGATTTTGAATTAATCTAATTTTCATTTTTTTCGGGGAGATTTATTTGCAACAACAAATGAAAAACAACAATATTTGCCCATTATAAAATGAATGTTGTTGTTGTTGTTTTCTGTTTGCTGATAACAAATTTACCACCACAAAAAACAAGCATATTTCCAATAAACATTTGTTGCTTATCATAAAAATATTTGACATTTGTTTCTTCAATTATCTGATGATTTCTGTTTGTTTTGTTTTGTTTTTTCTCTCCTGTAAACAAATATATAGTGTTAAAAGATGAATTTCGTATAATGCCAATGAATACACAAATTGCACAAGGTAAAACAGCTATATTACAATGTTCACCACCAAAAGGACGTCCTGAACCAATTGTTTATTGGTTACATGATGGAAAACCAATTGATCTGAATCAAAGATCGATTGGTAATCATAATCATCATCAGAATCATCATAATCATCGTTTTCGATTAGATGGTACAAATCTAATAATAAATGATGTTATGAAAGATGATCAAGGACAATATCAATGTATTGCTAAAAATATGATCGGTATACGTGAATCACCGGCTATTACACTTAAAGTATTAGGTAAGTTTTTTCTAGGTGAAAGTGATCGATTGATTGATTAACCCCTTTCACACTATTTTCTTTTTAGTTGAACCATATTTTATACGACCACCGGATAATATAAAAACAATGTCCGGTACTGATATTATATTTCATTGTCAAGTTGGTGGTGATCCACAACCAGAAATTTCATGGCATAAATTAGAAGGTGATTTAGCTATTGATAAGTAAGTGTTTGTAACATGTTTTACTTATATGACAAGTAATCATTGGCAATCATAAAATTTTTCAACTTTGTAGATCACAAATATTGGAAAATAAAGCATTAAAAATTAATCAGGTTAAAACATCTGATGCAGGGGTAATTACCAGCCATTGTAGCCTTATACGATGACGATAATAATTTTATTTCTCGTGTTTTTTTCCCATTATTTAAATAGACCTATGTATGTGATGCTGAAAATGCAGCCGGAAAAATAACCAAATCAGCAACATTGATTGTCAATTGTAAGTTATCAATTTCTGTCAATTTTTAATGAAATTTAATTGAAATCCTAACACTATACACATATAGCACATCCAACATTGACTACAAATCCAAAATTGATACAATCATTAGTGAATAATGTAGCAGAAATTGATTGTATGGTTATGGGAAATCCTGAACCATTATATTTTTGGCATAAAGAAAGTGGACATCTACTTATGTTTCCTGGCCATCAATATGGCAAATATAATGTATCGAATGAAGGCCGATTAACAATAACTAATCTTGCTAAACAAGATCAAGGATATTATATTTGTTCTGCTATATCTACAGTTGGTTCAACAATATCACGAACATTTGTAAAAATTTTGGAACGAAATGATGTGCCTCCACCACGTATACGATTAGGTTCAACTAATCAAACATTGCCTTTAGATACAAAAGCATCATTACCATGTGAAGCATTATCATCATTATCAATGCAAACAACAAATTCTAATTTCGATTTAGATCCAATAACAATCAAATGGTTTTATAATAAAATACCTATTCATAATGATAGTCGTTTTCAAATTACATCGAATGGATTACAAATTCAAGGTAAACAAATGAAAAAAATTGTTTATTTACATCTAATTCTTGTTTCTTTTAATCGTTGTAGATATTCAACGTATCGATTCAGGTGATTATACTTGTCAAGCTATTAGTCAATTAACAGGTAGTTTAACAAAATGGACATCAAGATTAACAGTTGAATCACCATTAAATCCAAATATAAAATTTTTTCGTATGCCACATATAACAATGTTTCCTGAAGCACCAAAAAAACCAACATTGGTCAATGTAACTGAAACATCAATAACATTACGATGGCAACGTAGCAGTAGCAGCAGTAATATTAATATCAATGGTAATATTGGATCATCGGCAACACATCTTGGTACAACCATTGAAGCATATAGTCCAGATTTTCCTAATCATAGTTGGCAACCGGTTGCCAATCGTATATTGGCCGATATATTTACTGTAAAAAATTTACGTCCAAATACACGTTATTTATTTTATGTTCGGGCACAGAATATACATGGATTAGGTTTACCATCGGATGTATCCGATGAAATTCGTACGAATGATCATCAAAAATCTTCATCAACATCATCATCATCATCAAAGAATGATGAAATAATTATTGCTCAAGCTCGTACAATATTGAATAATGTACAAATTAATTTACGTGATGCTCGTGCCATATCATCAACATCGATCAAATTATTTTGGAATGTTGTTGGTAATGGTGATTTTATTGATGGTTATTATATTCGTTTTGAAAATCTTGATAATAATGATCAATTATCATCAGCATCATCATCATTGATGAATGGTGCCAAATTCAATATGGTTACCGTATTTGGTGGATCAACATATACGTATCAGATACAAGATCTACATAAATATACTGCTTATCGGTTTTTTGTTATGCCATTTTATCATAATGTTGAAGGACGACCAAGTAATTTAATCATTGAACGTACATTTGAAGATCGGCCATCATCACCACCATATTCATTGACAGCAAAAGCAATCAATTCAACGTCGGCTATTATTGAATGGTTACCACCAATCAATCAACATCGAAATGGAATTATTTTGGGATATTATTTACAAATTTTTGAAAATAATACCTATTTGTATACAAATCTTACCCTAGATTCAACATTTAATTCAATTGTTTTATATAATCTTACTATTGGTTCAATATTTTCAATACAAATGTCAGCATTTACTGCTATTGGTATTGGTCCACTTAGTTCACCAATCTATTTAAGTATGGATGGTAGTAATAATATTCAATCTGATAATATTGATTATAATGGATCGATTGATGGTGGATCTAACAACAATCAAAATGAATATCTATTATCACCAATATTTTGGACATATGTTATTGCTATATTAATGGCTATTATTTTATTCATACTAGCCGTACGATTAGTTTTGTTTTATTCGAATCGTAAAAATCCAGTAAAATCAATTTATGAAAAAGCGGATGAAAATTTTAGTGAAACATTTGCTAAATATGATACAAGTAATAGTTCAAGTAAATATTCAAGCTGTCCAGATAATAATGAATATGCTGAAGTTAATGATTTTAAACATTATGGACAAACATTACAACAACAACATGATGATGATAATAATCAACAAAATGCTGAACCATATGCAATGACACCTTTGATTGAAAAATCAATGACTAAACAACAACAACAAAAACAAACAAATCTTTTAAATAATAATAATAATAATGATTCAATGATGAGTGAATCACCTTTATTAAATAAAAATCATAATCATCATTTAAATAATACAGATATGATACATCCATTAAATCATCGACAACCAGTATTGATAACACATTTAAATGGTAATGGTAAATGTCAAACATCATTTCGTAAAATGATAATGTTAAATCATGATCAATCACCACCACCACCATTACCATTACCATCATCAAGAATTGGTTTCAATATGTTTAATAATAAGGATTTTGATATGGCCACAAATATTATGACTAATACATTTACGAATATTGATAATGATGATGATGATGGTAATATTAATGGTGATGATGATAATGATGACAGTAAACAAAGGGTAAGTTCAAATTCGAAATGTCCTTATTCTGATTAATTATTAACCTATTTTTACCTTTATTATTTAGATGTTTGTACGTGAAATACAAAAACAAAAACATCAACAAAATAGTTTACCATCGGGTAGATCAATACCATTTTCATATCGTAATCATAATAATAATAATCATGATATTGATTCATTACCAATTGGTTATAGCCGAAATGATGGTCGTAATAATCAATTGATGACATTTAATCATCAACCACCACCACCACCGCCACCATCATCATCCTCATCATCACATCATCATCATCATCATTCACCATCAATACAAAATGGTCATATTCTATCATCAAATGGCACAAGAATCATTAATAATCCTATTGCATCATCATCATATGATTCTGGTTCTGATTGTTCATCATCTAATGGTCATAATAATAACATTAATAATAATAATAATAATAATTATGATTCAAATCATTATTATGCATCAAGTGAAATTATTCCATCAGGCCTTGGATCATCATTCAATAATGATACAAATTCTTCAGGTAATAGCATCAGTAATAAAATGACTATTGTTGGTCCATTATATAATTGTGATAATCAATATGATCATCATTCGCATCCTCATCATCATCCGCATCATCATCATCCATACGTCAATAATGATTCATCAAACATAAACAATATACATAATCAAATGGCCAAAAATAGAATTTATAATAAAAAACGTAATAAACGTAAAATGACTACCACAGATTCATAAATCTATGAATTTTATTGAATCGACAAAATTTAAACGCTTCCATGATGTACAAAAAAAAATAATTTTTTGTTTGTTTCTCTTGCTAAATGGATTATCTCCAATATTTGATAATCGATTTTTTTATGTATCAATTTCTTTGTATTGAATGATTTTTTTCTTTTTTGTATAATTTTTCCCTTATTGTTGTATAATAATTATTGATTATAAATAAAAATTGCAAATAGTAATTTCACAATCAAAATTGATTTTATTTATTTATTATCATTATTTCAGGAAAATAAATATTTTTTCTGATAAAGATCATATCAAGGCAAATTCAATACAATAATCACAAGCTTTTAATAATTTTTTTCTCATTATTTCTTCACGATTTTCTGAATTATAATTCAATGGAAGATCCAATATATGTACACATGTATGTGCTACTGGTAAATGATCTTCAGATACATTCATTGATTGAATTTGTATCTGTCAAAAAAAAGGAAAAAATCATTAAACAATCAGTTAGTTTTATTTGAAAATAAAAACTTTCAATAATAAACTTACATCCATTGATTTAACACCAGTGATCGGTATACGTTCAGAACCGGTTAAAAATTTTAAAAATTTTCGTTTTTCTTCTTCAGAAAATGAACCAAAAACTTTCCAAAATAATCGTATAGTTGGATGATTACTATCAAATGGTTCTTTATAACGTGTTGCACGTTCTAATTCATTCCAATCGATCATATCTTCACCTTCAACTAATTGCATTAATTCTTCAGCTTGAAATATTTGCAAAACATCTTTATCTAAAACTTTCATAAAACCATTATAGAATGCATCAAATTGTTTTTTAACCGAATCGATTAATAAATATTTCCAATATAATTCAACATATTCTTCACGATTTTTATATGTTAATTGTCGATTTTTACCATCTGGACAAAGTTCATATTCAACATTTGAACCAAATGCAGATAATGTAATGACAAATGTCATTTCACCAAATATAGCATTAAATTCATCTGGTTCATAAGTGGAAGAAAGAATTTCTTTAAGATTTTTGGTTAAAATTGGATCCAAATAAACAAGATCATCCAGTTCAAGATTTTCATTAAGAATTTTTTTATATAATATTAATGGAAAAGGCAAATCGATTATAACCTTTGTCGAAATAGAAATAAAGAAATTAAATAGATATTACAAACGTGATATAAATACAAATACAAATTAAATACCTGATTATAGATAGCTAAACCACAAAGTGTACCAACTAATCGATACATAACATCATCATCATCAGCCAAAATATGACTAAACCAAATAGTATTTGTTTCTTTATATTCAACAAACATTCCATATTTTTGATCAAGCATTTCTTTCATGACTAACAGGAAAAATTCTTTTTTCATTCCACGACCAGCATCGACAGCTTCTTCACCACAAAAATAAACACGAAATGGTTTTTTCAGTTCAGCTTCTTGAAAATTACTAAACAAACAAAGTTGATGTATAGTATCTTCAACAATATTATCACGACGAACATTGATTTCGATATAAGGATTTACTGCAATAGTACCATCAGGATCCGGTCTTGACATGAGTATCTGTTTTCGTATGGACAGATGTGCTGCAGAATTTTGTTGAATTTCAGAATCAGCACTCAATATTATTGTTTTAGCCGGTGGATCAAAAATGAATGGAAAATTACAAAGAAAAAATATATTTGGTTTTGTTTTACGATTATATTTCCAAAGTGTATAATCATATTTCAAATCAAACCAATCGTTTATACCTTTAATATAGAATTCTTTATACGAAATTTTACCATTAAATTTATTGACCAAATATAAACGTTTTAATGCACCAAGACATGTAGCTAAATTATAATGAATATGATGTGATATAGGAAATTTTGGTACCGAACTACCGATATTATCCGAACTTGTAGCAGCTGGAATTGATCGTCCAAAACCTGATTGTCGTTCAATATTATATTCAAAACGTAAATTTGCATCATCATTATTATCATCTTGTTTTATAACATTTAAATATTGTTCATAAAGATTTAATTTTATACTATTTTTTAAAATTTCAACAAGATTTTTAAAAAATCTTGAATTCATATGATACCACCATATTTTCATACAATCAATACCACGTTCAGATAATGTATTCAATGATCTTGCATATGATGTTATTAATAATTGTGATCGTTCACAATATGATGGCATATGAAACATATGAAATAATGGTATTATTTGATAAATACGCATTACTTCTTCATCAATCGAATCGGGAAAATCTTTTTTAAATTTTTCAACATCTTTAACTGCAAAACGTTTATACATATTAGATAAATCGGGTAAATTTGGTATCATTTTCATTAGAAATTGATAAATTAATTCATTGATACGTTCATTTTGTGCATCTTCAATCATATTAAACCAATGAAATGCTTGTTGCCAATTAATTAAACCATCATGAAAATTAATCAATTCATCGAATTCAATATTTTCTTGTTGTTTAAATTTTTGTAATTTAATTCGTTCATTATTCTTTTTCGGATTATTTTTCTGATCATCATCATCATTATTGTTGGTGGTTTCAATAGTTGATGAACAAAGAAAACTTGCATTGATTGCCGGTATTGATGTAAATATTGTTTCAATATAATCAATAATATCTAATGGTATTGATAATTCATTTGAAATCATTGAAAATTGTTCAAATATTTGATTATTCATTCGAACAATTTCATCATCACAATTTGATTGTCTTAAATCTTTTGGTAAAATTTTTTCCATATATGGTTGTGCAATAACAAAACTATGATCACCTTTACCGGCAATAATTTCTTTACAAATATATTGTAAACGATTCGGTCCTTCTTCTTGATCCGAATCTGGATCACTTTCATATTCATCAATCTGTAATGATAAATTTGATTCATCAAATACAGTATCATTTGCACATACAAATTTTGCCTGTGATAATGGTTGATTTTGTTGTTGTTGTTTATTATCATCAAAACGATCATCTTCTGGTTCTTCAATAATAAAATCACCATCATTATCTTGATTATCAATATTTTCTTCTTCACAATCTTCACTTATTATTTCCATTTCATTTACTTCCATCATTGAATCAGATGCTTGGTGAATGTTTGATGATGAACCATTTGCTGTTTGTTCATTCGTCGTTGTTGTTGTTGTTGTTCGACCAAATTCTGATCGATTTTGTTCCATAGAATCATCGACCAATAATAATGAACGATGATTATCACGAACAATAATATCTTTAGTAGCCAATTCACTCCAAGGTCCACGAATCGATATGGGTAAATATTTTGAACATGTATTACCGATACCTAATTGACCGGATCCATTTAAACCGAATGAATATACACGTCCTTGTTTACTAACTACTAATGTATGACAACGACCACAAGAAACTTGAACAATTTTTACACCCATCAATTCGAAAACTTTTCTTGGTAAAACTTCATTCGTATTACGACCATGTCCTAATTGTCCATACATTCCGGCACCCCATGTAAACAAACCACCTTCATAGGTTAATGCAGCCGAATGTTCATCACCCAAATTAATGTAGGCAATTTTTTGATTACGAAGTGATTTTTGTAATGTTGGAAGACAACGATTTTCACAATCACTTAAACCTAATTGACCAAATTCATTTTTACCCCATACATAAATGGCACCAGTACAGGATAATATTGCCGAATGTGAACCACCAGCAGCAATCTGTCGTACAGGTGTCCATTGTAATGATACCAATAACATTGGTGTACTAAGACAATAACCCGAATTACCAAGACCAAGTTGACCAAATGCATTCGATCCCCATGAATAAACTTCACCATCTTTCAATCGGAAAAATAAAGAAAAAATTAATCAATAAGATTGATAATTTCGATCACTTACTTTTAGCCAATGCAAGACAATGATTACCACCACAACTAATCTGTATGATTTGTTTTGGTGCTAATTTTTTAATCAATGATGGTTTAGAAATTTCATATTCTTCACGATTACCTAAACCTAATTGACCAAAAAGATTACAACCCCATGAAAATAATTGACCAGCTTCAGATAATACAAGACAATGATTTGAACCACAAGATATTTTAACAATATTATGATGTTGTAGGCCATCAATTTGTTCTAATTTTTTACGTGAACCATTACGACCTAATTGCAGACGATCATTTGAACCACAACTAAATACAACATTTTGATCTAATTGTATATTTTTTAACAATAATAATGTATGATTACGACCAGAACTTAATTGTATTAATGAATATTTACGACGATCAAATGGTAAACGTTGTTTTCTTGGTATTAAAATATGTTCATCTTCAATAGCACCAAGACCAAGTTCACCATTTTCTGTATTACCAAAACAATAAACTTTTAACATTTTGATTTTGATTTTGATTTGAATTATTCTTCTTCGAACAACAATGATGATGACATGAGTATTTTGCTTTTTTGTTCAATCGAAAAAACAAAAAAACAAAAAATGTTCAACAATCAATAATGACAACAACTGAAAAAATAAATCTATTTGTTTGATTATACAACTCAGTTTTGTTTATTAGACAACAACAACAGCAAAAAAAAAACACAGAAAAACAGAAACAAAACGCGTTGATGAAAAAAATAACGTACTCTTGATAACATTCAAACAACAACAACAACAAATATATTTGGATGGAAGAAAATTAAAAACAAACTCACACAAAAAAATGTTTCTAAAAATATTTTTCTCGAGTTTACCAGAAAATTTTTTCCGGGCATTTAGCCAGAAGATACCCTCACTGCCACCTTGTTTATCAATCTGTTCACATTGATGATACTAGATGGCGAAACTATCACTTGATTTTTGAAATTTTTTTTTTTTTTTGATTTTCAAAAAATCCAAATTAGGAAATTATTATTATTATTTTTAAGCGGATGTTTTTTTGTTTTGTTTTGTCATCAAGTGATTTCATCGATCAAAACACTAATCATATCAATGAAAAAATGCTGCTTGAAAAACGGTAGTCATTCATTTGGAATTGCTTGGAAATAAGTGTTTTTCCAGATTCAATCAAATCATGTATTTTCATCGAATATTATTCGCTTGTTTTTGGTTCGAAATTCATATTTTATGGTTTATACAATGTCATTCTTCATCATCCACATCATCAAACCTGATGATTGGCAATAAGAAAAAAGATTCTCAAATGGCTAGATATTTATTTTGTTCACAAAATTATTTTGATTCATTAAGCTATAATGGCCAATCATATCGTTTTACTGTTAATCGTAAAGTTATACATCCATTTGATGGTTATGAATTTGTTTATGATGAATTTTTGCTTATCTATAATGGTGATGAACATCGTTTTTATTATGAATTTCATAAAACATCATCCAAACAACAACAACAACAACAACATTTGTCTAATGGTAATTTTCCAATTGATTGATTGATTGATTGATTGATTGATTGATTGATTGATTGATTGTTTCATTATTTAATTAGTATTACCACGTGGTGGATTCTATATTGATCAATTGGAAATTTATCTAGATTTTTATCGTAATATTTCAAATGGTGAAAATTTTTATTGCTGTAATGATCAACGATCATCGACAACTGATAATAATAATCGTACAATCGATTGTAAAGATCTGCTATCGATACAATCAAATTGTTTGATTGATAATAATCAATCAAATCAACGATGTAATCATTTAAATCAAAAATGTTTACAATCATCCAGGATTATATGTCGTATATTTCCATGTTCATCCATTCAATATCTATGGGATAATTATTATACAACATTTGTTTATGATTTAGAACGTGAAAAATCTATCTATATATTTACAAATCATAGTGATCCATTTTCATTAAGTACAATACATATTTTATCGGAAAAATCCATGAAAAATTATTGGTTTTTAAAACAAATTAATCAACCAGAAAAATTTCGTTATAAAGGTGCATTTCAATGGAAATCATTTAATGGTGATAATAAAATTTATTTAATGGTTGAACCATTATCATCATCATCGACAATTGGAAAAAGACAATCAATGTTAATCGAATTGATCGATAGTCGAAAATTTCTTCTTGCTAAAAAGGTAATTTGTTAAAAAAAATTTCATCATTTTTACTGATGTTTTTCTTTTTATTTTTCCAAAAAAAATAGACAAAATCATGGAAAACATTTTTCGGTTGTAATCGACATCAGGATTATTTTGAATCAGAATATTCTTATCAATCATCATCAACAACTGATGATGATAATCAAACTAAACGAACAAATTTTCTTGCCATTTATATGCTAATCATATTGATTTTAGTATTATCTACTGCATTATTATTATTTATTTATCATATACGTTATCGATTGAAAAAATTTCTGGAAAATTGTTTTTTAATTCGTTTGTTTCATCGAATCTAAACAATCAAATAGTATTCAATTAATCGATTTTTGTTTACCAAAAAAAAAACTTTCTAATTAATCAAGGTAAATTCCAGGTGAAACAAACATTGATAATTTATCTTTCGTTCTTGTTTTTTGCGACCAACCAACAACCAAAAAAATTAATGATAATTTTAATTTCATTAACACAACACACAAGATACACACAGCAAGACACCTTTGATTTTTTTCAAGTTTTCAGTTCAACACTATCAATCTTTTGGATTTTCCATGGAAAAAAACGCAACATACTTCATTCATCCACATTCCAGAAAGAAAAAAAGCCTGATTAATTAGTTAATTAATTAAAACAAGAAACAAAAAAATGAAATATAATTAACCTGTAGTGGTTTCTGGAACCAAGTATCATTTTTATGTTTCTTGAAAATTCAATTTTATTTTTTCATTTTTTTTAATTCACCTGGTCATCATTCTCTGGGGATTTTCTGATATTTTATCATCATAATCATGACACGAATTTTTGTTTTGTTTTTACGCGTAACCCCGAGACACGAGAATTACATTTTTTTTACCTGGTGATCACTAATTGAATTAAAAATTTTTTTATTAATTAAATTACATGACTCATCATCCTCATCTAATTAATATTCTTGTTACATTCAGTTGTTTTACCTGAATTGAATCGAGAGTGAAAGAAATAACGAAAAATTCCAAACGTTATGGATCCCCAAATGGCCATCATTCATTCATTCAATGTTCGTTCGTTTTGGTTTAAGCAGAAAAAAACATTTGGAAATAACGGAAAACAAATCTAATTGAATCAACTTTTAATTAAATGGAAAATTGAAGAAATTCGCTGTTTTTCTTTCAAATTAATCAACACACTTGGCGAATCACAAACACACGCAAATGAATTTCATTAGTTAATTAATTAATTAGCGAAAAGAAAGAAATGCGAAATACAAAAATTTGATTTCCAATTTCCAATGAAATGAAAGAAACTCTTACTTTTTTTCTTTCACATTTTTTTTTTAATTGATTGAAATTGAATATATTTCCATCACCAAAACATCATTCTATGTCGGTTTTCTTCGTACATAATATGATTATTATTATAGAAAAAAAAACATTGAATTTTTGTTTTCAATTTGAAAAAGTTTTAAATTTCAAATTACATTTTTTGGCTAATGTTATTCTGTTTATTACCCGAAAAATGATGATGATAATGATTCCGATTTTGAACAAAAAATATCTCCAGTCAATGCGGTGTGAGAACTATGTTTCTATGTTTTTAAAATCTCATTTCTTTCGTTGATTTTTTTTTTGTTGGAAAATTTCATATTTTTTTTCCATAAAAAAAAAATTAAGAACCAAAAACATCATTCTTGAGCGAGTGAAAGAAAGAAAGTACAACCCAAAAAGACCTCCAACTGTTTTCTAATTTGTAACCATCATCATCATCATCATCATGATATTAAGCAAGCAAAAAGCAAAAACAAAAAAAACCAGCAAGTGGCATCTTAGATAATTATGTTTTTTTTATTTCCAAAAAGAAGAAGAAACCAAGAAGAAGAAGGGGGTGGAAGAGAGAAACCTTGGAAGAACAAAACTTATTTTAATAAAAATACCGCCAATGTGTACAACAACAACAACAACATTACAAACAAACATTTAATAGCTTGCGGGGCCATTGATGATGATGATGAAAATCAAATTGAATGATAATTTACCACACTTATTTTGATTGTTTTTTCGTTTTTTTGTTTGTAAATGAAGAGGATAATACTGGTAATGGTGATCATCATTTGTTTTTCATTTTTCTGTTTTGTTTTGACGTAATTTTATTAAAAATTTTTATTTAAAACAACAGAAAATCTATGGTTATTATTAAATTTAGATCAGCAACAGCAGGAAAAGAAAAAATTGGAGCAATTTAGCTTCGGTCAATCTGACTGAATTAGATGACTTTTGTTAATTATTTTTCATTAAATGATCGTTGTTGTTGAACGAACAACGACGACGACGACCAATTGAATCAACATTTTGCATGAAAAAATGAATGAATGAATGAATGAATTAGTAAGATCATCAGGTAAGGTAAGGTAGCTAAAAGTTACCTTGGATAATTATCTAGATTAAAGTAATTAGAAATTATCTTTTGAAAGAAAGATGACTTTTAAGATGATCCAAACACAGCAAAAAATAAAAACAAATCAACCAACCATTGAATCAACTTGGTAGCTTGAACAAGGGAAGAAAATGAAGAAGCAAAACAACTAAAATGAAGAAACGATAATCATTTTTATTAATGAAATTTATATCAAAAACGTAGCAGAAACAACAAAAAAAACAATGATTACCTGCCATCCATCCATCCATAGATAGTGTGTATGAGTAAAAGGTAAAAAAAATGAATTAACGTAATAGTAATTGAATGGCTAATTTTCTTTCCATTTCTTTCTTCACAACAATTCAGTCCAGGGGTTGAAAATTAAATCAAAAAAAAAACTGAATGAATGAATATTACACAAGCAAACACAAACACATGACAACCAGAGAAGTAGAGAAAAGAAAAACTTCAAAAATTCAAATCATGTTGATGGATTACGGTGGTTGTTTGTTTGATAACCTCCACCAACAACACACACACACCGGGATGATCATCATAACCAAATTGGATTGATGGTCGTTGGTGGTGATAATACACGATGTGAATTTGAAATTTTTCTTGAGAAAAAAAAAATACAGGGCGTTTTGAAAAAAAATCAAATTAAGTTAATTTTTTTTATCGTTGTTGTTGTTGTTGCATATTTACATCAAAGATAAATATTTTTATCGAATCAAGGGAATGTGGGATTTCTGGCCAGAAAATTCATATTTTCTTCATATTTTCAATAATCAAAGATGTGTGTGTGTGTAATGAATGTGTAAATAGCCAGTGTGACCGTACCTGATTTATCCAATTTACTTTGATTCAGTTGAATGCAAAACAAAAAAGGTAAAGGTAAAATTTTTATCAATATGATTGTGTAGGG